ATTTAAATATACTTTTAGTAAATATACTTACAATATATTTTAATATAGCAGTTCTGTTTTAGTATATACATTGATGTCTATTGTAGATTGTGTGCATTTGTTTTTTACATGCATATTGTAAATGCATACTTTTTATATATATACTAAAAACAGGTAAAACATACTAAATATATTTAATAATATCCATTATTAACTTCTTAACTACAAACTTTTGTCCTCAGTGTAGCAGAGAGGGAAATTCCCAGAAGCCAGTTCAGGCTGAGCTGCTCTGGTACAAGTTGGTGTATCCTGGGCTGCACTAACCCATCAGCTAGCAGCACTACCAAAAGGACCAGGGTGAGCTGAGACAAGACACATGCTCTGCTGGCACCTCTGCTGATGGCTGATGTGATGGAGAAGTTGGATTTGCACAGGGAGGGGACACTGCATCCTTTGGTATCCACCCTGCAGAGAAAACACCTCCCTGCAGTCCAATGGGCAGAGGAAGATCTATCTGCTAGTGATGGGCACAGCTTGCCCGTGCAGAAGTAAGGAAGTACAGATGAAGTACAGAATCAGTTAAGAAAGGAAATAAAACTATTAACAGAGTAAAATAATTAGCAGCCAAGTTAATTATTTGCTTTAATTATACCCTATTAAATCCTATCACATTTTGCCTTTGCAAATACTTCCTTTGTAGTGCCTGTGACTAAAACCTGTTCCATTCATATATGGTAGTAATGCACTGTACAGAAAAGTGTACTAATTCATTCTCGGTATAAATGTCATGCAAAAGTAGTCATTCTGAAAATGATCTGGGACTCAAACAGTAGTAGTTGGTTTTTATAAGCTCTGTGGGCAACACAGCAAACATGACCAGGTTGAATGCAGCTCACACGGTTAATTTCTAACTGATACCTGTTTTAATAAGCATGAACTTTGCTTTCTGCCAGGACTCTGCTTGAATGGCCTCGAATTCATTTTCCTGTGACCTTTCTCTGCATTATTGGCAGGAAGTGAATCTAAGGCAACCAGTGCATGGTCAGCCCCAAGTTATCTTAGACATCCCAAATGAATATTAACAGCAAATATTCAGCAACATTTACTCAGCTCTGCTCTGGGTTGGTCCATCTGTGTGACTCCTGTGTTGCTTCTATTCTGATGTTTTATCCCAACTAAAGATGTCGTTTCTACAACTACCTTCTGCAATGATCTTGTAGGCACTCCTTTCTCCTTGAAGTTTGGAGATGGAATGCTGGAGATATACCTCTTCTAAAGCATCAGTGAGAACTGAGAAATCCTGAAGCTTTCTCTCCTTTAATGCTTCTTCCTTCCTATGTTCTGGGGCTAGATCAACTGCAACGGCTTTACCCTCAGTGACCAAAGAGGACTGCAGGCTGTTGGAGTGGGAATCTTCCCCAACCTCTGCCAGGTCAACCATGACTGCTGGCCCAACTGTACTGTCATCTTCAACAATGGCAAGTGAGTGGATTTCTTTCCTCAGGCACAGTGAGGATGCATCCTAACAGGCAACTCAGCAGACTCTGCTAACTCCACAGTGTCATCCCATTCTTGTTTCCTTCTCTAGCTCAGGAAAAGATATATCAGGAGTTTATTTTTAAAGAGGAACTGTTTTCTCTCTCATTATTATCCAATGCACTAAACAAATACACAAGATTTGACCCCAAATCCAGTGAACTGGATTTTTCCCTGGTTTCTGTGAGGTTTGAAACCAGACTTGCAATAGGCACATAAAGTACTAAGTAGCTGCCTAGATTACCCCTTATATTAAAGCTTTATTTAAGGAACAATTATGATTAATAAATTACTAAAGATAATATCAGGTCCACAGTCCAAGTTTTTCATAACCGAAGCTTGCAATCAGCTGTGTATCACTATCTGCTGATGTGTTTATAACACAATTCCTAACACAACCTTCATCTTTGTGAGTGTTCCATCTCTGTTAATCACTGATTAACTCTTTAGCAAGGGGATCTTAATGACAATTGGGACTGGTTTTCTCAAACCAAGTCACGTGCGAGTGCAAGATGCCCGAAGCCGCTGGGCATTCCGCATTCCCACCCAAGTGTTGTAAGAAAACTTCTGTGGGATATATGAGATGGAAAGAGATTAAGTGGGAAATGCAGGAATGTTTCAACAGAGCTGGGAGTGGAGGCTGCTGCTCTCAGAGCTTGGGGCAGCCCATAGGATGGATGTTCTGCCCTTCCCAGTCTCCAAGACATAATGGGTATAAACTGCACCTGATCCATCAAGTTGCATCACGAGTAAGACATTGACTGTGTGTCAAAAGCTGCACAACCACAGTATTTCATCCAGATTTTCCACTAAGGATGTGGAAACAACTGTTCAGCAAACCTTAGAGCTCTAAGTTAACCCCCCAGCCTCCCCTTCTTGAACTAACACATTGCTTGTGCACTCCAGTTGTTGTTGCTGCTGGTTTTACCTGATAAAACTACACAAGCGTTTATCAAGCAGCTGATAAACGAGCAAAGCAAAAACAAAACTGCATTAGGATGACTTATCTTGGGAAACAGGGTCTGATCCAAAGTTAGGTTGGAGTCTGTGCTCTGGTAGCCAATTACCCTGGATCAGATCCATAGTGGGATGATGGAAAGCCTCTCCACCCAGCCTGGGAAGTGGAGGAGGAACTAGCAGTGATAAGTCTGAATTTCTGGGTGGTAAGTAGAGGAATGGCATTTTGTTTGCCTGGCAGCTTGTCGAAGCTCCCACATGTATCCTGTTACTGACTTTAAACTGGACCATCTGGTTATTGGCAAAGTGAATTATGAAGGTTTCTTACCTTCCTGTGCAAGCCTGATGATAAGCCCCTGTTGTATCTATCAAGGCACAATACTGGACTTGAGGACCCACTAAACTCATCACACAGAGCATAGTCCTTGCTGCTGCTATCCCAGGCTGATTTCCATTTCAAGCTGTGTCTTAGAGAGCATGACTGCCAATGTCAGTGGAGACACTTCTGTGCAGAACTAGCCCCCTTGTGCCTGCCAAACCTCAGAAGTGGGTTTTGAACATTCCCTGGCCAAGGCCCCTCCTAAAATCACAGCATGGGACAATTCTCCACCAAATCCTTTATGGACCAGTGATGGGCAATTCAGTGATAGCATAGCAGAAGTGAAGCTCTCATGCAATGAAGCATGAACCAAGCACAGGAAAGCCCTTGTCTCCTGTCAGGATGATGTCCTGATGCCCTACACTGTGTACCCATATTTCTGTTGTACTTGCACCTGTGTAAATTGCAGATGTTTGTTTTGTCTTTCAGTCATGAGGCTGTAAGATCAATGTTCCACACACAGATGAGGTGGGTCGGTCTCGAAAGCATCATCCTCTCCCTTTGCCCTGTACCCCTCATGTCCTGTGTTTAATGGAAAAGCTGCAAACAGCCCGAGGGGATTCACTTCTCCCCTGTGTAAAGCCCCACTAAACCCAAACCTCACTTAACTCTGCATTTTGTAGTACATTAAAACAGTAGTGGTAATACTGTGATTGTCTCTCCTATGGTGAATTCCCTATCTGCCTTCCCACCCTCTCCCTTGGCTTCCTCCCTGTCAGTATTTCCCCTCTCCACTTCTCATTTCTCCTCCCCTGACTACGGCAAGAGCGTGAAAGTCAGAACAAGGTCTTGCTAATCTTGTACAGCCCAAAATAAACCCTTGCGTGTTAGAGGATGAGAAATGGTTGCATTACTGACATACTAAATAGTCCACGTTTCTTCTGCAACAAACGGTGCCTGTTGAATACTTTGCCTACAGTAGCAGTACTGTGAGATGTAGGTTTCATCCTCTTTTATCATAATACCTGATTAATGTTTTACCTTTTAATGATGCCACTGTTACCTGATCCAAACCAAAGAAATAACAAAAATATATGTAAAGAAAGAAAAGTTCTCTGCTTAGCTCACTGCATGTGGTATATTTTAGTTAGCCCTGTTAAAGGGACACTGTTGTCTTTAAATACTAGTTTCAAGCAAACACACAATTCCTCAGATAAGACATTAAATGCTTTACAAGTGCTCTTCTTCACCACTGACACCTTCTTGGTGCACTATAGATAGGATAAAAAGGGGCAAATGAGTTTCAGTTCTGATTAGAGTTGCTATTTTGAGGCAATTTGTGTTTTGAGCTATCAGGCACACTATGTCTGTGTGTGTGCTTTCAAGGTCCTTAGTACTTGAGGAAGGCACTGGGGAAAGAGCACAGGATGAGCTTGGTGGGGTGCTCTTGGCTGACAGTGTCTCTTTAACTATAGCATTTAAAATATGCCATGTGTTTCCAGGCTTATCCCAAACGCTACCAAACTCCTCCACACAAGGGGGGGGGCCTGCTTAAAATATACCTACCGTGCTTAGGCTATCAGGGGCATCATAAAAGTCAGAGGCTTGATTCTGCTTCTCTGGTTGCATGACTCACTTTAACGAGGATCCCGTCGAGTGTGAACAGGAATGTGTGTATGTGTCAACCTTTCTGATGGGAATTGCTCTTTTCCATGCACTTTCTCCTGGAGCAGGAGGTTACATCGTTCTCCAGCTGTCATCTTCCTGTGGTTGCGACATAACTAAGAGCTGCTCTTCGTGACGATGGCATGTTTAGTGATAAGTTTTGGATGAAATATACTGTTGCTATGATCTAACACCCAAAGAAGGTTAAGACCAGCCTCAGAGAGTAGTTTTCACAGCAGCTTTAGCACAGCCAAAGAGCTCAGAGCTACACCCTTGGAGAGCTTGTAATGGGAATTACAAGGGAATGAAACAGGAATTACAATCCCTTTGTAGAAATACGATCACACAGAGAAAGTCATGTCCTTCCAAAAAGACTTAGTTAGCAAAGGTGAGACCTTTGAGTCCTATGCCTTCTGTGAGACCTTCATTGGATCCCATCTAAAGCACCCTGTGTTCAGATGGGAGCCAGTAGGTCCCCCCAGGTCCATCTCATAGCAGGCATGTATATCAGACACGCTGCTGAGCTCAGCGGGAGGATGATCAAGTCATGCTACCCACAGTGAGGGAGTCCCAGGACTGGGATGGACCTCATGGTAGGGTGGGAGATCAGACCATGAGACTGCCTTCATTTTGATAACCTGTAAGTACTCCTACCTGCAAAAATATGTGTAACCAACTAATGGGTCTGAGCAGAGAGCCCAAGATCACTGGTCTCAAGCGCAGTGAATTATCTCTAACCATGGGTAGAGTCACTAGTAGATGGGGGAGTAGATGGATACAGAAGCACCACCTCACAGTTGGTATTTGTTGACATTTTTTCCCATTCTAGCCAAGTTCTTCATTCAATTGAGCCTGTCCAGCCCCTGCAACTGAGAGATGGCCCAGAGTAACTGGGAGATTTAGCCCATATTTTGGAACAGCAGGGAATAGTTTTAAGTGTCCACATTATTTAAGACCTTCACAGGGAATTACATGAGGGAAAGGTAGGTGCAAAGGTCTGGCTTTCTAAAAGCCTGTCGTCAAGCGTTTCCCATGGATTTTGGCTTAGTGACAAAGACTGGTAATTGAGTTGTGGTTTATAGTAGCAATAGGCATCAGATCAAATGAACTACTAAAACCCAGACAATTTCCAGAGAATTATTTCCAAGCCTTTATGTGGAGATGCATGAACAGGGTGAGGGCATCTCTTACCCAGCACCTAGAGGGAATTTGTCTTAACTTTTTGGAGTGAAAATGATACTGAAGGCAGCTCAGCTTGGGATCTGGGAGTGTGGCCAGGGATGTGCGGGTAGCACACAAAGCAGTACTTAAAAAAAGACCCAAAGCCCAAACTCAGCATTTTACAAGGCTTGTTGGGGACTCCTGATCTGAGGGCTTTCTTCTGCAGATCTGCAGAAGTTTATGTCTGTGTTCAGCCCTCATCCAGATGAAGTAATGGACTGCAATCTGTTTATAGCTCAGATCCTTACATATCCCTGCCAGGGACTTGCAAAGGGGCAGGAGAAACTGGTGTGACTATGTTTTACTCTGTGTTCAGATAACCAAACTGCTGTCCATCTCTGCATTGTCTCCCTGAAGAGCTAAAGCACACCTCAGGGCAAGGGCACTCCTCTGCAAGGCTGGGGCAGGATTTGTCCCTGACGGCTCTATGGCTGCGCCTTTGCTTCTGCTGCTTCTCCCAGTCCACATGTCATCTCCTTTGCACTCAGGATCGAGCTGCGGGCACTAAGCAAGATTTCCCCAGGGGATGAGCTGTCTGTTTCCTATGTGGATTTCCTCAACGTGAGCGAGGAGCGGCGGAAGCAGCTCAAGAAGCAGTATTACTTCGACTGCGCCTGCGAGCACTGCAAGAAGCAGATCAAGGATGACTTGATGCTGGCGGTGAAGCAGGGGGAAAGCAAGGTATGTGTTGTCCTGCTGTGTCCAAACCCAGAGTTGGCTGTGTCTCTGTGTGTCACTGTGACCGTGGTTCCTCAGCCCAGGGACACTCAATAGGAAAGAGTCAGATGTTGGCAGAAGCCTGACTAGTGCCAGTGTAAAAAGTGAGAACAGAACTGAACCCCAATTGAGTACAACAATTCAAACCCACCATGCACAGCCAAGCCTGGAGACAAGAAGCTGTGTGGAGACCTCAGAGCATCCTTCCAGTATCTGAAGGGGGCCTATAAGGATGCTGGAGAGGGACTCTTCATCAGGGACTGTAGTGATAGGACAAGGGGTGATGGGTGTAAGCTTAAACAAGGTAAGTTCAGGTTAGATCTAAGGAAGAAGTTCTTTACTGTGAGGGTGCTGAGGCACTGGAACAGGCTGCCCACAGAAGTGGTAAATGCTCCATCCCTGGCAGTGTTCAAGGCCAGGTTGGACAGAGCCTTGGGTGACATGGTCTAGTGTGAGGTGTCCCTGCCCATGGCAGGGGATTGGATCTGGATGATCTTAAGATCCTTTACAACTCAAACCATTCTCTGATTCTATGATTCTATAATCCCTGTTATCAACATAAATGCAGTTTTTACTTTAAAAAAGCCCACAAAATTTGCCCTTGGCACTAACTTAAAAGTCCGTCAATGAGCAGAATGGTAAAACATTAAAAATCAGGTCTAGAGCTGAGAAACATGCTGGCATTTAGATTTCGGGGTGGTTTTTTTTAGGAACTAAAAAGGAATCAAAGCTTTGAACAGCAGAAAGGAAAATGTGTTGCATGGGATTCATGGTGGCAGGACTAACCAGTGCTGCTGAGGCTGTGTGGTTTGCAACACATGAACCATCACACTGGCTCCAGGAAGGTGGGAAGCCTCCAATTCCAGTCCCTCCTTGCAAAAGCCTGTCACAGGGACAGGCACCATCACTTGACATTTGTGCATGGTTACTGTGGGCAGCCTGTGAAGAATTGACATGTTCGACTGCTCATTTTTAAGTAAGTTGTGTTTTCCTGGGAGGTCTCACAAGTCACGGGGTGGGAGGCTGTAAGGCTGTGTCTTGCTGGTGGCAGTGGGATGTGTTGCTTGGCCAGCAGTTCCAGTCTATGAACATGCTGGTAGCTCTAAGTGTTTCTTTTTGGTTCCTCTTGGAACCATCCTTGGCCCAAGGATGTAATTGTGGATACTTTTTGGTCCCCTGTGGCAGTGTTAGCTTAGGAGGTCTCTGCTCCTGGAAGCTTTACAAAGTGTATAAGGGAAGGCAAAGCAAGGCAGGGTAATTTAGTGTATTATCAAGTCATTGATCTGCACAATTGAGCAGTCACAAAGTGAATCAGAGAGTACTGCTCAGGGGCTGATGTGCAGCAAGACCAAACAGCAAAGGTGGGATGAGGAACCATCACCTCAGACCAGCACTGCCACCAGGAGAGGAGTACAAAAGCCTCAGGCTCAGCAGTTACCAGAAAGCCAAGCTCAGTCCTGTGACCCTTCTTGCATATAGGTGGCAGCCAGGAAAGGGTGGATATTGCGGAGTCTCTCCTTGAGAATGGTTTGGAGAAACAGGATCAAGCTGGTATCAGGGAGTTCCCATAGGAGATAGAACATGGGACTCGAGGAGACCCTTTATTTGCTGGGTCAGGTTCTCATTTAGTGCAAAAGACCCTGCTATATAATCCCAATATCAAATTATCAAACCTCATTTTACAGCTAATCCTGACTACTGAGACGCCCCACTTGCAATGTAAAGCGGTTCTAGGCTCAGTGCTGGATGCAGAAGCATTTTTGACTTTCCATAGAAGTATTTTCAAACACCTCCTCCAGTGGATGCCAGAAAGAAATCCCGACTCTCACAGAACACTTGCTACCAAGCCCTGACTGAGCCATGAGATGCACCATCCTCTCTGTGTGAGCATTAGAGCTGCTCTGCAGCACACAGCAGGAAGACAGGCATTTTTGGGCGAATGTCCTCCACCATCTGAAGTGCTCATGCAGGAAAAGCCTGTAACTGTGCAAGGTGCATGATTCCAGCTGTTAAAAATACACTCCCTGCACACACAATGAGTATCCAGGCTGACCTCACCGGCAGAGCACGGCTGTGTCGCACTGTCTGAATCCAGGCTTGTGTGCCTGAGGGCAGCAACACTCACAGCTGCATGGAAACAATGCTATGAATACATGCAGGATTGACAGCTTACATCCTCAGCAGCTGCTCTGACATCTAGTCTTTCACCCCTTCCAAATACAATCATAGAATCAACCAGGTTGGAAAAGACCTTTAAGCTCATCCAGTCCAACCATTCCCAGCAGTGCCAAGACCACCACTAACCCGTGTCACTGAGGGCCTCGTCTACCCGGGGTGTGAACACGCAGGGACGGTGACTCCAGCACTGCCCTGGGCAGCCTGTTCCAATGCCTGAGCACCCTCTGGGGAAGGAATTGTTCCTCAGCTCCATCTAAACATCCCCTGGTGCAGCTTGAGGCCGTTTCCTCTTATCCTGTCACTTGTTACTTGGGAGAAAGTTCCCCTTGGTTATAATGGCAACAGACTTAGGGATCTAGTAAATGCAATAAGATGTTTATTAGACAAAGCCACTGTGGAAGTGCTGTTTACAGTGCCTATTCTGGGAGTCTTTACTCACACAGTATAACCATGTGATTTGCACTGATGTTAGCATTGCCTTTGAATGGGCTCCGTGCTCTAGGACACCGTGTGTGCTGCTCAAACAGCTGCCAAAATCTGGTTAGCTATGACAGCTTCAGTCTAATAATATAGAATAATACATCATACCACAGACACATTGTCTGTTCTTATCTCAACCATGGGAGTTACATTCTTGGCTTAAACCACAACACATATGTACCCATAAATAGATGGGGGGTATATGGCTCTGAAAAGCTACTGGTTTTCCTTTCATGCTAAACTTCCAAGAGGTTATCCCAGCTTGCTGAATTTCAAAGATTCCTCAAAAATCTGATTGACCACATGTGGAAAAAAGGCAATAGGACAGTCCTATGGTCCTGGCTGCAAATCTCTGCATCCTCTGTTGCAATGTTGGGTCTCTGCTTTTGATGTGCACCCAAGGGTCCTTCTTGGCTGCTGGGCACATAGGCATGCTCTGGTTCTATTGCATGTCTCCACACCAGGCTCTTCCTGCAAGCTCCTGGAGTCAGTCCTGGGCTGATTTCAGGTTTCCTATTAACAAAAAAGAAGGTTATGATAGCTAGAGTAGTCTGAAAATGCAAGTTTGAAAGTTTTGGAGAAGAGGAAGATGAATGATGGTTCTGGGTATCATAATCTTACATTTCAGCATTGAATGAAGGCAGCTGATGATGAGCTGGTTAGTGTTTTGCCAGGCATGCCTAGATGTGCACCGTGTCTTCAAATACACAGTAAGGTGTGTGGCAAGACACATTTCGCTCTCAGGGTGCAGCTGAAATCTTAGGTCAACCTTCTCATGGTGTTTAGACCTAAAGACAGTATTTCTCAAAGTGGGTAAAATTTAGTTATCTTTCCTATCCTTTTTCCACCCATCTTTCATTCAAGACCCTCATTTCTCCAAGGCAGCTGCACTAGGAGCACCTCATACACACCAACTGGTGGCTTTCACAGCCTCTTTGGCATCTTGAGAGACACCACAGGTCCAAGGTCCATTCTGTCCCTTTTCCGAGGGAGAGAAGTGGGGAGAAGGGTTGAGGAACCCACTTATGCATGTCAGATGTGCAGGACCATTTCAGCTTTGTCTTGGAGGGGTCTGAGAGGCACCCTGGTATATACAACCAGTGATAAGAAGGTGATAGGGGAAGCATCCCACTGAGCTGCATTGGGTTCCCAGACTGTGGACTAAGCATCCCTTCAATCAGGGTATTTTGACACGTGTCAGGCAGTGCATTTTCCTCACTGGTTTTCCTGACGTTATCCCCAGCCCTCTGCAGAGATGGTGAAGGAGGTGATCCAGTTCTCCAAGGACACGCTGGAGAAGATCAACAAGGCGCGCATGGAGGGACTGTACCACGAGGTGAGTCCTGGTGCTTTTGCTCTCTTGCTGTTCATGCACTGCCAGGGAAAGCAGGTCTTGTGTCTCTCTATGTCAATGATTTAAGGATGAAACAACCCCCCACTGCTGTAAAATGAACATCCCCATGTGCTTCCTGCCCTCTTGTCAGCTCAAATTGCAGAAGCTGATGCTGCTTCTGCCCTATGCAAAGTCCAACCGTGTCTGAGACAACATCCCAGGCTGGTTGATTTATATTGTAGTGATGATGCAAGGAGATTCAGGTGACTTCCATCACCTGCAATTGACACAGGTGTTAAATCAAGGGCCTTCTAGGCAAAAACCATGAGTTACAGGGCGTGTGTAATGAGTCAGCTCTGTCAGGTACAGAGAACAGGACAGTCAGGAGACTTTGCACATCAAACTGTAGACTGTTTGCCTCTCGATCTCCTCTTCACCTCCTGGCTCCTGTATCTTGCTCATTTATGGGTGCTGAGGATAGGGTGTGGGAGACCCACATCCAAACCAGAGCACAATCACAAGGGCAAAGGGTGAGAAAACTCAAGTCACTTTGTCCTTTCTCCCTCTTCTGCTGACCCAGGAAATATTTAATTGTTCTCTTCAGACCATAACAGCTTGAGGAAAATCTCCAGGTTGACCTCAGCATCTGGGTTTGAACTTGCTTTGGGAAAAGGCTGAAGTCCCCCAGGGCAGAAATCTGGACATTGGGTCATGGCTAGGTGCAGACGTGACAAGCTGAGCAGACAGGCAGGTGATGGTGCAGCTCCGTGTCTCCAGCCTCATGGAGTCATTCAGAGCATTCATTGCTCTGAATGTAAGAGGTTGGGTGGGTGGTGTTGGGGTATAAGAGTCCTGTAGGCACTCAGTATCTGACAAAACATAACCTCCTGGGGTCCTTCTTCTCCTGAGCAGTTGACATCACTTCTTCCTCACTAGTTTTATGAATGTAACCCTGACAGGGAAAGCTGAGCATAAATCACTTTGCTAGGCTGATGTTTCAACAAACCAAAACATATCCTATCTTCCCAACCTCTGCAGAGGCTGACTTGGCCTCTAGGAGTGGTATGGACCATGCAACCCACAGGGCTTTGGTGTGGTAGCTTCAGGGTTGAAGCTGCTCCGATTTGCCCTTCTTCTCCCTCCTTCCTCTGGGTGCAGGTTGTGAAGATGTGCCGTGAGTGCCTGAAGAAACAGGAGCCTGTGCTGGGGGACACGAACATCTACCTCCTGAGGATCCTCAGCATTGCCTCCGAGGTGCTCTCCTACCTCCAGATGTTTGAGGAAGCAGCTGACTATGCCAAGAAGATGGTGGATGGCTACATGTATGTCTGTGCCCTATTTCTGGCAGCCCTCTGTGGTTACACAACGTTAGGCAGTGAGTTATAAGAATGATTTTCTTAGCCTGCTCCCATCAGGGCAACAGTTCTGGCATTCAGGCTGGGACCCGATTATATCACCACATAGAGGAGGACCCCTTCTTAAATGCATAAGAGCTCCGAAACACCTTGATTCACTGAACTATAACTGGTAAATGGTTTGGGTACATCTTCTGTTTTGTCTCAGAAGCACCTCAGGGCTGCCCTGGTAGCAAGTCACAGAGCCTGGGTGCAGGACAGAGGTTGCCACTGCAGGGGATGGTCTGTTCCCCTGCGTCTTGCAGGAAGGAGAAGTTGCAGACAAAAGAGAAACTGTGAAATGCCTGTCACTCAAAATATCCCTTCACTCTTGAATAACACATGGATTTTGGCTTGGCTCATTAGTATACACAAGTCCTGTGGTAAAAGCTCAGTGAGAATAAAGAAATTCAGGCTTAGTTTGCATAGATCCAGGGCACACCTTCCAATAATAATTATGTGCTTTATTATTACTGAGGTTTTAGTACAGGACTGATGGAAACCATAGACAAAGAGAGGAAAGTCCATTTCATCATCTCATTCACCCTCTTGCTGAAAGCATCTCATACCCATTACTTGTCTTTTTGGTCAGTTCTACCCCAAAAGGCCTGTGATATTTTGTTCTTTTTCAGAGGGGTGACAGAGTCACCTCCCTGGCTTTCAGGCCTGACAAGCCACATCATGTCCCAGCCCTGGCACTAAGCTAATTGAATGGCAGAGGAAATTGCTTCGCTCCCAGTTCCCTTCCTTGCTTTAAGAGCTGCCAGTTCAATATGCCAAATAAGCCCTTGAAGGCAGGTTTTCAGGTAAGTCCAAGCAGCTTCTGACTCTGCCTTGGCTGCTAAAATTGGATGTAGAGGGCAGGTTTCATTTTTCCCACCTCAGCTATTGCCCACAGGGGAGTGATCTGGCAGTCCCCAGAGGCAGAGGTGCATCTCCAGGGCATGAGATGAGCATTTCTGTAGGTTTGGATCCACTTGTTTCTCTCCTCACTTTGAATGAGAAGCTGGTGGCTGTTGCATTATCAGTTTAGGCTCTTCATTGAGTGACTGAAGTTGAGCTGATGCCGTTTGGGCTGTAGGGTCAGATTTGGATTTTGTTTCTGCCAAAATAATGCGGAACGACAGAGCTTGGCATTCTCCAGCCCAGGTCCCAACTTCCCTGTTTGCAGGTTGTTCATCCTCTTTTCACAACTCGTGTCCTCATATAACTCGTGTCCTCATATAACTCACGCCTGTTCCTTTCTAAGCAGGGCTGCCCATTTCAGTGGCACCAAATGCAATGGGCTTTTCACTTGGGTAAACAGTCAGCTCCCTGACAAACGTATGTCACTGAGGAACATTTGGGAACCTGGATCTTTCCTGAACTCAAATTACTCAATGTTTTTCCAGGAAGATATACCATCCCAACAACGCACAGCTGGGGATGGCTGTGATGCGGGCAGGAGTCACTCACTGGCATGCTGGCCTCATTGAGGCTGGGCATGGCTTGATCTGTAAAGCCTATGCCATTCTCCTGATAACCCATGGACCTTCCCACCCAATTACCAAAGACCTGGAGGTAGGTGTCATCTCTGTGTTGTCTCTGCTGTCTGTCTGGGCAAAATTACACTCAAGCTGTAGGAACAACCCATCCATAAGAGCTGAGAGATGTATCAATACTGGCTGCTTCTTACTAGTGCTGTGGTTTCCTCTAGATTGTGTCTCAGTCTGATGGGAAATGTGTGTCTGTTTTCACCCCTGAAAAATAGCTTTAATGCTGCACCAGGACATACATTACAAACGACCACTGAGCCCCTGAATCTCCTTTGAAACTGCTGTGCCCAAGGACAGAGCCTCCCATTCTTCAAACAGCCTGATTTCATTGCTCTGAGATGGATGACATTGCAATCTGACTATACCAAAGTACTTATGGTAGAGGTTCTTTATCAGTGATTTTCTTTATCAGTCTCCATTCTTCTTTATTTATCACTCCCCAGTCCTTGTAAGCTGCAATGTGTTTTTCCCTCAAATGACTGCTAAGTGCATTTCCTAGCTGAGGTCAAGAGCTGCAGATCCCAGGGAATTGCATCTGCTCAGATACGATGAACTATTTGCAATTGCAGCTGGGAATCTATCATTTCTTCAGTCTTTAACTCACTTAATGTGACCTGTTCGCTCTACAGCTTTCTCTTTTATTAGCCAAAAAATTGCACAATACCAAATGAAATCCTTTATTGGTGTCCTAGTCACCATTATAGCAGAGTTATAACCTTTGTTAGTGCAATTCTATATCACCAGAAAAATGAGTACCTAGTACCTAAAGCTAACCTGTCTGTTGACTGTTTCTCTACGTATAGCAGAGGGTGAGACAGCAGCATCTCCATTTCTATATTTCCCTTCCCACCTATTTTAGAAGGAAGATAGTGGATACATGGCATATGCTTATGTCTGTGCTTCTAAAGCAAGGGTTGAATAAACTGAATATACAGACAGGCATAAAAAGATTTCCTAAAATCCCTTCTGAGCATCTGCTATAATGCAGCACTAGGAATGACTTTGCTCATGGTGAATCCTGGGGTGCAGGGGGTGCAACTGTGTTGTGTTTGAAGAGGGGCTGAGCATCTCCCTCATTCTCCCCTGTCTCCTCCCACATGAGGTGCCCTCTACTCCAGTGCTGGATCACATCAAGGGTCAGCCTCAGGGTGTGGATGGGAAGCACACTCACTCCTTGGCTCTGCACAGCATCACCTCTAGGTCCTGCACCAGGTTTGGGAGCATGAGGCTTCCCAGCAGCCTGTGGAAGAGCTGGGTGCAGGTACCTTCACAATACACAGGCAACGAGGTTGGAGAATGGAACTGGGCATCTGTGTCCGTTCAGCTTTGGTGGGACACCTAGAGTAAGGTGCATCAGTCATTACATGGCCTATGACATAGAATCACAGAATGGTTTGGGTTGGAAAGGATCATCTAGTTCCAGCCCCCCTGGATGGTTCCCATTTTTAGGCAGTGTGTTATTCAGTTGCTTTGAGATCTCCTGCATCATTGTGCTGTGTCCCTCAGGTCATGCGTGTCCAGACGGAGATGGAGCTGCGCATGTTCCAGCAGAACGAGTTCATGTACTACAAGATGAGGGAAGCTGCCCTCAAAAACCAAAAGATTCAAGTCATGCCTGAACCCAGCAATGAGACCTCACCAGGCCTCTTCCACAAGAAGGAATAAACCCCGAGCTTGACACAGATTCATTCCTGTGGCGTAACATCACCTGTGGCACCTCCGCTCATTGGGAATGTGATATGTGATATATCCATAAGGATCATTCCCAGTGGCACTAATCTGACAGCATGGGCTGCTGGGGGAGAGTCCTGAAACGTGTTCTGAAGGCTCAAAGCAGAAGAGGTCTTGACAGAAACAACATCGTTTTTTTACCACTAGCATTAAAAACCAAAGCAAACCCGCCTGTTATAGAATTATTTACATTCTTATTGGAGGCCTGTTTCTCTCTGCACAACTCCTGGTCTTGAAATCATTGGTTACATTTTAATGAGTTCTTTCCTACATGGTTTTTGGTTTTTTTTTTTCATCACTTCTCTGTGGTAACAGAATTTCTTTCCAGTGATGTCCATGGGTGGTTGCCCGAGCAATGGTAAACGTGGGAAGCTGGTTCCAAAATGTCTTGTATGCCTGTGGGCATTGAATGGGAATTGAGTAAGACCCACAGATGGTGTTTTGTGTAAAGTGGTGCTTTTCTGATGGAAAAACTGCTGAAAAACCCATCTATAGTTGATGCCGGTGCCACATCAAACTGTGGGCACTTTGTAAGTGTGACTAAGTGGAATTCCTGCATCAGGATAAATTAATAAGGGTAAATGAGTCTCCTTAGTTAAAAACCAGAACATATCTGCACTGATGGCAGCAGATGGGCAGGGGATGACTCTGTGCCAGAAGCCACTTGCACTGGTGTGGGGCACTGGCTGTGTGCATTGCTCTAACTGAAGAAGCAGTGAGCAGGGGACACCAATGCCTTCCAGTGCTGCCTTTCAGCTTAGACAGGTGTTTGATACATTTTGCACTGAGCAAAATATGGATAGTCCATGGATCTGCTGCCAGTGGGCAGCCAGTGGAGCTAAGGAACAGTCTAAAGGCAATGGCTGGATTTCTAGATATAAAAGGTCTTTGCTCTCTGCCTGTCTATCTCAAAATCCAACTGGTTTGCTCCACATTCAGTGGCAGCCAAGAGATGGGAAGAGATGTTCAAGAATCCCCTACCTGTTCCTCAGCAGAACAGCAAGAAAACAAGCCCAGGGCTTTTCCTTTTTGAAATGTCTCAGTGATTTTGCTGATGTTTGTCCAGATCTAAGATGAGTTGACTGGAGACCAACATCTGATTTTTAGGTGCTACTGAGCTGAGCCCTTCTATTTGTCCGTGGGGTGCCCATCTGATGTCCTGTGTGACAATCCATATTGCTTCAGTTCTCAGCATTAGGATCAACCATAGAATCCCAGACTGGTTTGGGTTGGAAGGGACCTTAAAGCTCATCCAGTTCCATGCCCTGCAACGGGCAGACACCTTCCACTAGAGCAGGTTGCTCCAAGCCCCTGTGTCCAACCTAGCCTTGAACACTGCCAGGGATGGGGCAGCCACAGCTTCTCTGGGCACCCTGTGCCAGCGCCTCAGCACCCTCACAGGGAAGAGCTTATGCCCAAGAACTCATCTCAGTCTCCTCTCTGGCAGGTTAAAGCCATTCCCCATTGTCCTATATTGGCCTGTAGCACAAAGACTGAGGAGGTAGGAGTCATGGGAGAGATACACGTGAGGATAAATTGGTCCTTTAGTGGCATGTGTTAAGTTTGCAGGTGGAGGTGAGGAAGTGCTTGGGTTTTCCTAGCATCCTGATCAGCTTTGAGCAGTTCTAAGAACATATTCCTAGCTTGGTGTATCACAACAGTCATACATCCATTTTCCAGTTACAATTCCTAGTTATCTTCCAAGCACAGGGCTTGGAAAAAGCAGCTAAGAGGAAAGAGCTTCCTCTCCTGTGTGCATCAGAAAACTACATCTCCATCCAACCTGCAGCACCAAGCAAGAGCGTAGGGGTGACTTTGGTGCTCCTCTGTGTCTACTTTGTGAACAACCATTGTCCATCTCCCACCAGGAGAAAAAACCTGTATTTCCCCCTGGAAGAACTGTTAAATTCTAGTTCAACCCAATTTATCAGTCACGGTTTGGGGTGAGACACACATTGGACACCTGAACACTGTCTAGTGAGAAGGGATGTGGGGGAGATGGGGATGGAGTGGCCAGAGCCTGTAGGACTGGATCCTGTTGCAGAGGTGTGAGGATGAAGATGGTGGTTTGGACACCCAAACTGCCTCCATGCTTGTTGCTTTCCCAAGGCACCTTTCCAGGCAGGACCACTAACATTACTTTGAGCCCACCTAAACCAACCCATCCTTTGGCCCTGCCAGTCACCTTGTGGTCACTTTGTCCATGTTAGTAAGGAAAGGGAACAGAGCACTTTCCCTTCCCAGTGCTCCTCCATCCACCCAGATAGGGCAGCTTTGGATGCATGACCCTTTGGGACATCTCCAGCAGGATGCTGGCACCAGGAAGGGGCTGGACCACATCTCAGAGGGTCGCTTTGCCAAGCTCCATTCACCACCACCAGCACAGCCTTGGCTCAGCCCGTTGCCTGATTTCTACCAGGACTTGTGTGAGTTTTGGAGTGTTGCATCTCTTTATAGCAACAGCGAAGAGGCTGATGATAATGAAAAGGCCTTTAATACAAATTTTATTTTAATGGACACATTTTACACAGTAAAACGATTGGTGTGTGCAGGGTTTCTAGATTCTCTTGCTGATCCTCTTGTAGGTGATGTCTCCAGTGGTCATAGTCTGAAAAACAAATGGAGAGTGTCAGCTCTTCATAGAATATCTCAACTTGGAACCAACCCGTAAGGATCATCATGGTGCTTGGCTCCATACTCTGCTTGGAAAAGATCTGGTCTTGCAAATCAAACCAGGACTGCTCCCCAGGCTATCTCCTATAAACTGCATTATTAAAACTTTGGATTTTTCATGAGTACCCCAAAACAAGCAGGGATAATCTGGATAATCCCTCAACTGGTGCACCTCTTCTTTAAAAGTGGCAGGCCCAGACACATACCTCTGCCTCTGGGTTGTTGAGAATGTGCCCTCATTACATGAAGCTTTGACCAGCAATGCCTTCTGGTGTGCTAAAGAGTACTTTTTGTATCAGACTACAATGAAAAACAGCCTTCAGTGGCCAACTGATCACTTTGGCTGCAGAGCCTGAGTGCTCATCCCCAGCACCTCCCTAAGATCCCCACCATCCCTACAGGCATTCTAGGGCTAGACCACTAAAGGCAGCTGTATGCACCATTACTTCAGCCATTGTTCTTCTCTTCTACACTTACATGGGTGATGGTGTCTCCGTTGAGTTCAGTGACAGATTTGATCCCTTTCAGGTTTGTAATCAGTCTGTTGTTACCCTCCATCTGAACAACAGTCTGGTAAAAGGAGACAAAGGTATTCATGTTATTGCTGGAGACCATCTCAACCCCAGCATTTTGTCCTTCTCCTTCTGCACTGAGCTGCCACCATCCCCTTGCAAGCTGTTTAGAGAAAGCTGCTCCCTGGTCATTTTGGCTTTCCTGAGAGGAGGAGGAGAGAGGGTTGTGCTGGTGGTGAATACAGCACAACAAGGGTGTGGATCTTTAATTTGAGATGTGGATTTGGCATTCTTTCCCCTTCACATTGAGACTCACTCATGCACTGTTATGTGCCAGAGCAGGGATCCTTGGCATCCCTTGACATCACACCAACACGTGAGTTTGGGGGGAGAGCAAGGAAGGCTCTTCAGCCTGCTAATGCTGGTACCTACGTGCAGCCCTGTTGCTCCTTGGGGCAGCTCCTCATGCAGCACCCAGACCAAGAGGAGCTGCATGCCTCCAAGGAGAGAACTGGGACATGGCATCTCCTCTCCATCACCCACCTATTGCAGCAACCTCCTTTGGGATGGGGTGACAGGGAGCAGTGTGACAGCATGAGGCTGGGGGGAGTCTTGATCAAGGTGGGAAACTTTAAGGAGCTTTTAGTGATTTACTCATGGCTGGAAAGCTCTCAGAGACAGGCACATCTGCTGGGTTTATGCACATCTAAAAGCACCAGCACTGGGGCAGCAATCACTGATCACTGGAATTCCTCAAATAAATAACCCAGCAAAACCATTTCTATTCCTCTGCCTGCCTGGCTATAAGGGTTGTTCACCTGCCCTTGAGCTGCTGATCTATGGACGGTCAAACTCTTCTAATAGCTGTTTCCCCCTAGTTTATGCACAAGGGATTTCAGTGATGCTGGAAATCATACAGCTCCCAGAGACCACTGGGGCATTTCCTTGGTGATCATCCCTTCTGATTCCATCTTTCCCTGCAATATCCTCTCCTCCTGAGGCAAAGGTGAGATGCAACTGTCTTGACATTTTAGGAACCATTGCTAACTAATGCCCAGCAATGGGAGATGGCCTCATTCCAAGGGTGATAACTCCTCACCTTGCCGAATCATCTGACCCAGTGTAAGCAGAAGCAGTGGAAAAGGCTAGCAGAGAAGCTAACAGCCACTGGGACTTCAAGGGAGAGATTTATTGGTTTATGACTTATTGGCTGACTTCCTGCCCTATATTTAAGTCAACAAAATGGAGGTGGGGGTATGTTTTGTGTTGCAACATGACAGAAAGTCAACTCTTTTCCACCCTGAATCTTAGAGACCTTTAGCTGTCAGAAAAAAATAGCCCAAAGCATCTTTACCCACCTTTTACAAATGGGATATTAAAACACTCTTCCAGTGTTTTCTGAACTGGAAATTCAAGTAGAAATTCAATATTTAGAAATGTAAGGCTTCATCTGCAGGAGTGCTGCTTGGGGAGCTTGCAATGTAAAAGCAAAGAGATGGGATGTTCAGAGTCTTGGCTCTGAGATTCCCAGGAAGGTGGCTCAGAAATGGGCTGTTATTTTCAGGACTGAATCCCTAAGAGACTTGCTGAGGACCTGCAGGGAGCAGGACAGGGGTGTCACATCTGCAGACATGGTTTCAGCAATTAGCCCCTTCCTGTCATATGAAATCATGTATGCAAACTGCGAGAGACAGAACCAGGCTGCAGAACTACCCAGGTCTTCTCCTTGTGTCAGCTTCAATGGTCACGTCATTCCCTTTGTTCAAGTACAGAGGGAATGGCTGGAAAGGGAATTTAATGTCCCTGCGCCCCTGCAGCCATGGCAGAGGAGGAGCTGATCACCCACCTTGATTTTCTCCCCTGACGGCATCTCCATCTCGCACTCCTCCCCAATGGTGAACTCGTGATGCAGCACTTTGGAGCCGGTTGTCACTGTGACCTTGAACTTCTTCCCATCCTGCACGATTTCTGAGGTGCCCTTGATATCCTTTCCCTTCTGGATCTGTTCATCGGGAAGCCCTGCCCAAGAACAGGAGACATTAGGTGGATCTTGCAGCCAGCAGTAGGCACATTGCTGCTGCTGGATCATAGAATAGTTTGGGTTGAAAAGGACATTAAGATCATCTAGTTCCAACCCCCTTGAATGAATGAATGAATGTGGCAGGATTTGGGGACCCACAGTTGGGCGGATTTCTATTTCAGTGTGGAAAAACCTTGCAATGATGATGGTTCCCAAAGGCCACATGGCCCTGAGCCTATTGGAGAAGAAGAATAACACATACTGTCATCCTGATGTGTGGGAACTAAGACATCTCCCTTGTCTCACCGACCTGGCTGGGAGCAAAACAGTCACCTCCCTGCCTAATCATCAGATAGAAAGAACCCTGATTTTCTTTCTTCCTCTGGCAAGCAGAGAAAACGGAATAAATAGAGGCAGGATGAGGGAACCAAGTGGGGTTTTATTCAGAGTCCCTCAGAACCAGTTCACTAAAGTCTTCTCCAAAAGCATAGTGTCTGATCTGACAGGTAGAGCCCCTCCATGCAGCACATAACTGTGCAGAAATAGTGCAAAGTGTCCTGAATCCCTGCAGGAATATGTACCCTGGCAGGGACACTGGTGGAAATGTAGTCAGCCACATTCATCATTAAGCATTTAAAGAACCCCAACTATTCTTATCCCTTCATCAATCTCTTCATCAAGGACCGTAGCAATTGGACAAGGGGTGATGGGTTCAAACTGAAACAGGGGAAGTTCAGGTTAGATCTAAGGAAGAAATTCTTTACTGTGAGGGTGCTGAGGCACTGAACAGGTTGCCCAGAGAAGTGGTGAATGCTCCATCCCTGGCAGTGTTCAAGGCCAGGTTGGACACAGGGGCTTGGAGCAACCTGTTCTAGTGGAAGGTGTCCCTGCCCATGGCAGGGGGGTTGGAAGTGGATGAGCTTCAAGGTCCCTTCCAACATTCAAACCATTCTGTGATTCTATGATTTTTCTGATGAATGGTGGAATCTGGTGCTTCACAGCATTGCCGAGCAGCAGCATGGGGGGGGCTGAGCGATGTCCTGCTCGCCTTCAAATACCAAAGCTTGATGGAGCAGATCTGCAGTCTCCCTGACCCCCCAAGGTCCTGCTGGGTTATCACACGTGTGCAGCACTCTGCTGTGACTGCAGAGCCTGCTAGGACCGTTTTCCTGCAAGCCATATATTTCACCCAGCATCCTTTGGCCTCCAGCCACCAGACAGGGAGATGCTTTCTCTTCTATCTCGAGACCACATCTCCATGCACATGCATTAAAGAACCCCAAACAACTGCAAGAAGACAGCCAGAAACAGGAGATCTAAGAGATGTTTTCAATCTATCTCCATCATCAGCACATCAGTTGGACCCCCAAATACCAGTGTGATCTGCAGAGGCAAAGCAGCACATAGCACATGCAGGCACTTACCTATGGCTTTCATAAAGGGCTCAAAGTTTTCCTGGGACTGGAGTTCATACTTTCCAGTGAAGCTCATGGTGGAAAGGCTCTCTGTGCTCCCAACACAAGCGATGGTGCTTTGCTGGTGAGCAGAGCTTTATTTTATAAGGTCCTTTTGCCTTAAAAGCTGGTCAGAGGTAAGATCATGTAATTGTTTTATGGCCATGTTCAAACATTAACATAAAACTGGGCAATGGTCAGTGATAAATCCTTGTACATTTTACGGACCTCAATTTACAACGTGGGGGCACGGAAAATCCCATGAGCCCATTTTATGGGGGCAGCAACGTGGCATCCATAAACAAATGGGAAATAAAGTGATCAAAGAGGTTGATTATCAGAGGAACAAACTAGATCATCTATCAGCTGGCAGCCTGCGAGCACACCTCTGGAAGAGGAGAAAGTGATGGAATATCATGGCTATGGCTCCAGGGGATGACCCGATGGGGTTTTTATTCACTGATGTGGCCACATTGGGTCTTTAGCATTGGCATGAAAAGTAGCGGCTCCACACTGGCTTGCTCAGTCCTTCACATGCCTCATAGTCCACTGTAACAGTGGGTTTTGGTGTAACCTAGATGTAGCTGTAGTCACAAAATCATCATTAGAATCATAGAATCATAGAATAGAATAGAATCACAGAATGGTTTGGGTTGGAAAGGACCTTAGGATCATATGGACATGCAAAACTTCTCAGCTTCCTCCTAATCACAGAGGAATCCGAATGCTCTACATCCCAAGGTGATGAATCAGAGAAATGCTGGTTGTGAGGGACCTCTGAAGGGCTCTGGTTCGACCTCTGAAGGGCTCTGGTTCAACCTCTGGCTCAAAGCAAGAGCATCACCAACACCAGGCCAGCTCAGCCATGGCTTTGGCTCAAAACCTACGCTCCCTCCTAATCACAGAGGAATCCGAATGCTCTACATCCCAAGGTGATGAATCAGAGAAATGCTGGTTGTGAGGGACCTCTGAAGGGCTCTGGTTCAACCTCTGTCTCAAAGCAAGAGCATCACCAACACCAGGCCAGCTCAGCCATGGCTTTGGCTCAAAACCTACCTCCTCTGCCTCTGTGGTACCCATCCTGCGACTGTACCCCCACCTCTTGAAGGAAATGCTCAACCCAAACCTCCCAAAGTGCAATCTGTGGCTGGAGCCTCATATTATAGCATCTCCCATGACCAAGAAAAGTTTGGCTCCATCATCTGTGTAGCCACGTGTGGAGCAGTTGCAGGTTGTTATCACCTTCCCTCAACCCTTCCCTGGGATTCCTGGTCCTGGCTCCCACTCTCCCTTAGTGTCTGCCAAGGCACTGGGAAACCACCCTCCTGCATGCACTGCTTCCTGACAACTGGGGTGTTAGAGTGGGGAACAGGATTTTGAGCCTCAGGGCTCCTGCAGCAAAACTTCTCTGCCTCCTCCAGTTTGAAGTAAAACTCCTGTTTAAGTTCTGAGCTATGAAAAGGACTTGTTTGTGTCTCTGGCAGTGTTCAAGGCCAGGCTGGATGGGGCTTAGAGCAACATGGTCTAGTAGAAGGTGTCCCTGCCTGTGTCTCCCCACGCATTATGAAGCCTTTGGTTTCACCCCAGTGCTTTTGGAAGCTGGGGCTGGGCTCTGTGCTAGAATGTTCTTAGTCCAAATGTGACAGGCTGCAAGCCAGGGCTTTCCAGCCATGGATTTCTCTAATGCAGGTCCAGCCGAACACCCCAAAACCTCTAGCCAGTTGTTTTAAGAGCTTGGTCGCATGCTTGCCAATCACAGATCCCCAGGTGGACTTCCCTGTGTCTCAACCCGTATTATTGCTTGGTTCATTCCTATTTCTGCTGTGCTTGTACCTGGGAACTTGGTTTGCTGCCCAGTTCTCACATCTTTGGTCAGATTACTTTTAACCTTGAGGAACAAAGGTTTCTGCAGCAGGCCACATGACTGCATTGCTTCGAAAAGTTGGATGGGATGGGGAAAGATGATGCTGAAGCTGCAATCTCTCTGTTCCTCTCGGTTTACACCACGTTTTCACTGTGCTGCATTACCAAGCCAGCACCCAGATGAAATCCAGCACCTTTCCCATTTTCTTTCTCCTTTTAAAATGGCCATGGCAGTCTCCTGGCTCCCTCCAAGCTGTAACTTCCAAGCCGTAGACATGCAAGCGCCAGTTCATGTTGGCTTAGATTAGATATTCTATTATCAGAGCCTTGATAACACTGCCGAAAGCGGCCACTTACACGGAGTGCTGCTGTTTGATAAAGCTTTCCATCAGTGCCGAAATTCAGCAGAGGAATCAGCCCTTGTCATCTGATTACAAAGGTCCAAAAAGGAGCAAAGGCTTTGTACTGCTTCTCCAAGTGGCAGTGGTTCCACTGATAGCATGAGACCTATCACTGCCATAGCTTTGCTTACCAGTGACCATGTAGGGAGCAGAGCCTGCAGAAGAGCTGGCCTTTGCTGTTGGAGTCTTGCCTTATAGCAGGAATAGAGCTGCTGGTTGTGCCACTCTCTTGCCTCAAACACATGCCCTATGGTGTTGTTGCCTCTCTCCAGACACATGGACACATGAACTCATGCACTGAGAGTGGTTGTGTTTTCCTTTCAGCTTGGCCTTTGGTGGGATGAGGCTGTTCTCCATCCCACCACCCAGCTTATGGAGCTGGAAATGGTGCTCATTGCTTATGGAGCTAGTTTGTGCCGGGGCAGGGAAAGAAAATGTTGGGAAAGAAATGGAGCCAATGTTCTTGAGTGAAGGGAGGTCTGGAAGAGC